GAGCTCATATGGGCAGAGGTTAAAAATTATATAGCTAAGCACAATACAACTTTTAAATTTTGTGACCTCAAAGGACTTTTCAAAGAAGCACTAGAATTAATAACAGCATGGGAAAACTGTATTAAGCACGTGAAAGACAAAGTTGAAAAGAGAATGTGGGAACTGGACAATATTTTAGAGGAACAAGTCGAGCCATTCATTATTGACGTTGGTGCTTCAGGCAGTAGCGATGATGAAAGCTCATCAAGCTCATCTTTCCAATAAAAGATGTCGTTCATCAAATTCGGTAAGTTATAAGTAATTATAAAGCTACTGTATTTTTTAATTAATTATTGACATTTTTGAACCCATTTTGGCAAAACCTATTCAAGAATCTACTTTCTGACAATGTTCAACCATGCACATTTTTTTACGTTTTGAACGTTTTAATTTGGTTACATATTTACCTAGAAAAAAAAATATACTAATCAATGTTCTAAAAGCAATTATAAGAGATATACGATTATTTTTAATTTGGGCTAATTTAAACGCCATTTTGAGATTATATTCGACTGTATTTCACCAAACATCAGGCGGCATCCGAAGCTGGAAATCGAAGCGAAAATTTTGAAACCCTTATGTATATTTACATCATTATATATTTCTTACCCCACCCCCACATGATCCTATATCCATCACCAATCGTATACACATCGAATTGTGCTAATTTACTACAAAGTTACGCAAAGCAGCATCTACTATCTAAAATATGTACTGCGTGACTTTTAATACGTCCCTGCCGAATGTTACAGCGTTCGATGATCACGTGGTCTTGTTTATGTCCGGTCTATCTCTTATCTGAATATACTGTAATGAATTCGAACAAATTAAGAAAGTTTCTAAGGACTTTTTCGTTCAGTAGCAAAAAATCATTTTTTCCATATTTGCTTAAAAAATCGTCTAGTTGCGAAGTTTTGGCTCTGTTTGAATACCCTTTTTCCATCCCTCAGTGTTGCCAGTGGTTACTGAAGTGGGCAGCCCTTGAGAACCGCGCTCGGGCCTTGGTAGGGCTCTTCCGAGGACTGCCAAGTCAGCTTTTTATGTATTTGGCTTTGTGGGCATTTTTTCTCATTTTCATCGCTAATCACGCGCCTTTAAACACTTCATGGCTTACTTGCTACGCAATTACCGTGGATTAACCTCGAGATAAGTCATAAGATATCTTTTTATCTCGGTTATTTAGCAAACTGTCGAAGAATCCGGCATATGAGGTTTCTAATCTATCCGGTAACTTTGTTGGGATCAAGAACTTCGTATTGAAAACGAATAAAATTTATTGCATAGGTATACTAAGTGACATATAAATCCGAACACCCAGTTTAAATGGTTTTATTTTAATAAAAGTTGGTGAATGTATTTATCTTACTGTAAATAACAAGTGAAAAAATTTTCAGCCTTATCAGTTGGACATTCCGGTTTTTATACTGCTTTTTTTTAATTCACTAACGCTCTAAAAATGAATATTTCAGCCGCAGTAAAGAATCAACGTTGGCGGATTTTGGTTCTTGACATCCCTTACCCTTTACGATCGGTTACAATGCCTAGAGTACGGAGACCTGTACGATTTCGTCAACTTAGTGAGTTTGATAGGGGCCGTATAGTGGGACTTCGGGAAGCTGGACTTTCTTTTTGGGCAATTGCAGTTAGAGTGCAAAGAAGTGTAGACACTGTGGTTAGGTGTTGTCAGGCATGGCTTCGAGAAGGCCGTACGCAAAGAGCAAGGGGCACTGGACGGCGCCGTAGAACAACAGACCGTGAAGATCGCCGCCTAAGATTATTGGCCTTAAAGGACCGTTTCTCCACTACCACGTCCAGTGCAAATGAATGGTTTGCAGAACACGGAAGACCTATTGGCATGCGAAGTGTTTACCGACGAATGAGAAGTTTTGGCTTGTTTTCATACCGGCCACACTGGGTCCTCCCTTTAACTCGAGAACCCCGACGTAATCGCCTTGAGTGGTGCAGACAACGGTCACTCTGGGATCAGGAGTGGAACAGTATTGTCTTTAGTGACGAGTCTCGATTTTGTTTGAGCATGCACGATGGTCGTGCCAGGGTTAGAATCCACAGTTTTTTGTTGAAAGACGTGTTCATCACACTGTTGGAGTTATGGTTTGGGGTGCTATAGCTTATGGTGCCAGGTCACCTTTCATCTTCATCAGAGGTAACATGAACGTGCAGCGTTATATCCACGAAGTTCTAGATCCCCATCTTTTACCCTTTCTTGACACCCTGGCAGATCCAACATTCCAACAAGATAATGCCCGACCACATGTTGCAAGAGTCACAATAGACTTCTTTCAACATAATGATGTCACATTGTTACCATGGCCACCAACATCCCCCGACTTATCCCCAATTGAGCACGTGTGGGATATGACGGGTAGGAGATTGCTCAATTTGCAACGTCCTCCTCAGACTCTAGAAGCACTTCGAGAGGAGTTGGTGGTTGCCTGGAATGAGATACCACAGGAGGGCATTGACCACCTGATCAGAAGCATGCCTAGGCGCGTTGGAGAATGCGTAGCACATCAGGGTGCATACACACATTATTAAAGGTCAAAGGGCTTTAAAGCAGTGCAATCATTTTGAAATTTTTATCATTTACTTATTATGCTTCATTAAGTACTTATACAAAATTTTATTAAAATAAAACCATTTAAACTGGGTGTTTGGATTTATATGTCACTTAGTATAGTTCCTACAGTGTTTGAATAATCTGACCTAACTTGAAAATAAATTCTCAGAGAATTATTTAAAAAATTTGAATAAAAATGTTGAAAAGTTTTCGGGCATCATTTTGTATGTTTTCTATTATGAAAAAGGTGATTCATAATTTTATCCGATGTTTCATAATACAAAAATTCTTTATGTTTTGCAGTAGCGCAAAATTTTTAAAACGCTGTTTTTACAATGATCTTTTTGTTAGTATTTTAGTTTTTATGATGATCCTATCCTAAATTAATTAGTCATACTAGATTATTGGACTTTTTATTGGTGTAACACACCCTCGAAAATTATTTTATATTTTTTAGTTCGATTTGAAAATAAAGCGCGTTCTTTTTTTGGCTTTTTGAAACTATAATTTATTAGTTTCGTACCTGTGTAAATTGAGAATCCTCAAAACGCAAATCTCTTTGAGTACGGAATGTGATTCAAAAAATGTTCCTTTTCAAAATTTAATTTCTTACGTCCACAAAAAAATCCGTAAGATGTCACAGAGATTTGAATAACAGAGACTTGTCAGATGTCAAAAGCCAGTGACATATTCCACAGCAACTAGATATTTATTGCTAAATTGCATTCTTCAATTATTACATTAATTTTCTCGGACAATGGGTTTTTATTTTTTTACTCAAAAATGAGGCATCGAAGGAAATCAACTCACGAGAGATCATTTGTTTTAAAGTGAACGGCGAATTTAAAAATAATTTTTATTTGGGAAAAAACCATTGTCGTACCATTTTTTTCTTAAAAAATATCGAAGTCAATACCCGTACGTGCGCCACTGTTAAAGCTAAAAATTATTTTTGCATTGAAAAATATGCAACTGTATTAACTTTCACTACGTACTAAATATCAGTGAAATATCTGAAGCGGTTCTAGAAATATTAATTAATTTCCATTTTTGTTTTAAACGTCAACACCCCCAGTTTTTGTAAGGAAACATTTTTGTACCATAGTTTATAGAGCAAACTATCATTAATTTTCCATGTAGATTCAAACCCTTAAATATTCGCAGATCATTAAGGAACACCCTGTATATCAGCCCCCAAAAATTCATGGAGAGCACATTTTCTCAGAGGGGATCTTGAAAGTCTCAAATATGGTACTCAAAACCATAGTAAAAATGCAAATTTTAGGAGGTAGACAGACTTGCTTGCTTGCTACCATTTTACTTACTATAAACCTCACAGCATATTTATCTCTCTCTGGATTACATCAAGATCGTTCCAGCTGTTTCTGAGATTACGCATTTAAAGTAAAAAGTAAAAAGTACTCACTCTCCAGTTGACGAGAAGGGCTAAGTACGTCTCTGCCCGAAATCATATCGCTCCAACAGAAAATGAAATCAGCCGATGCGCTACCGAGCAGACGCAGAAACCACATTGATTGCCTTACACTTAATGGCACATCTTCTAACAAGGAAGGCAAAATGCTGCGTAAAAAGTCTAGGTATTGTATCCCGTCCAATCGATTTGGGAGAATAAATGGTCCAATGACCATACCGTTCACCATGCCAGCCCAAACATTCACCGAAAATGTTTGTTGAAAATGTGCCCGACGGACAGCGTGCGGATTTTCTACTGACCAAACATGAGTGTTGCGAAAGTTATTCACCCCATTACGCGTGAACGTAGATTAGTCTGTCACCAATATGCACTTCAAATAGTCCGGATTATTGTCATGTTGATGCAACAACCATTCACAAAACCGCACTCTTGCTGGAAATTCGTCAGGTTGAAGGGCTTGTACACGTTGGACGTGAAACGGATACAGCCCCTCTTCACGCAGCGTTTGCCACACTTTAGTTTTTGATACTTGCACTTCTCTAGCCACGTCTCTAGTGCTTGTTGTTTTTTGAAACGCAATCGATTATACGGGTTCGTTTACCTCTACACGCGGGACCGTAACCGTCGGTTGAAGGTTGCATACTGACCTGACACACTGACCCCGACCCGGTTCTGTCGCCGGGTTGAGCTAGTGTCCTAGTACCACTCGGGGATGTCGCGGGTCGCGGCTACAGGACGGTATTCAGATATTTTTGATGTTGCAGAGCCCTTTATCTCGGTTCCCTTAAGACATTGGTGTATATGGTACTAAGAAAAATTGCTTATGTTTTCAAGATCTACACGTCGTGTAAAGGAAAACCCCATCTTTGCGGACACCCTGTATATTATCAAAATATCCATTGTTAATATTTTAAACCTATAACACCCTGCCACATTTTTATTATTTGTGTTTGAAAAGAAAAAAACTAAGATTTCAATAGTGAAGTGGAAAGGGGCTCGTATATGCTGAATATGCTCAAAAATAAGACTATCAAAAAGCTTGAGGAAATTGATATTTTCCACATTTTTTAGACACCAAAGAACGTATGTAATAATAAGTATTACGAGAGAAACTTGATAAAAGCTAGTAGTTGCCGATATTTATTACTTCATCATACAGCTTTTAAAAATATCTCACACATCTGACCGTTAGATTCGAACGAGATAGCATTCTTAGTAAAATATTCAACAAACTCCTTCAAATTTCCGAAATCCGGCACTTCGCTACCATTTTCCGCGTCCAGTCGCAGCTTCTTGTCGTTCCTTTTTATTCCGAAATGACGGTTGCCATCTTTGTACTTGACCGTGAGTACCAGAAAGTGCGACTTGCTTGGCCTGAAAAGAAAAGCTCCGTCTTCGAATTTCCCTAGATGAGCTTTGGCGCCTTTCCTGTCAGTGTTGCGGAAGTAGGGCTCTTTGCTGATATTGACTAAAAATAAAGCGCGTGTGAAGATCATAGGGTCAGTATTGAAAAAAATTTTATGACTCACATATACTAAGTGACATATAAATCCGAACACCCAGTTTAAATGGTTTTATTTTAATAAAAGTTGGTGAATGTATTTATCTTACTGTAAATAACAAGTGAAAAATTTTCCGCCTATCAGTTGGACATTCCGGTTTTTATACTGCTTTTTTTTTAATTCACTAACGCTCTAAAAATGAATATTTCAGCCGCAGTAAAGAATCAACGTTGGCGGATTTTGGTTCTTGACATCCTTTACGATCGGTTACGATGCCTAGAGTACGGAGACCTGTACGAGTTCGTCAACTTAGTGAGTTTGATAGGGGCCGTATAGTGGGACTTCGGGAAGCTGGACTTTCTTTTCGGGCAATTGCAGTTAGAGTGCAAAGAAGTGTAGACACTGTGGTTAGGTGTGGTCAGGCATGGCTTCGAGAAGGCCGTACGCAAAGAGCAAGGGGCACTGGACGCCGCCGTAGAACAACAGACCGTGAAGATCGCCGCATAAGATTATTGGCCTTAAGGGACCGTTTCTCCACCACCAGGTCCATTGCAAATGAATGGTTTGCAGAACACGGAAGACCTATTGGCATGCGAAGTGTTTACCGACGAATGAGAAGTTTTGGCTTGTTTTCATACCGGCCACACTGGGTCCTCCCTTAAACTCTAGAACACCGACGTAATCGCCTTGAGTGGTGCAGACAACGGTCACTCTGGGATCAGGAATGGAACAGTATTGTCTTTAGTGACGAGTCTCGATTTTGTTTAGGCATGCACGATGGTCGTGCCAGGGTTAGAAGGCGACGTGGTGAAAGGAGGAATCCACAGTTTTTTGTTGAAAGACATGTTCGTCACACTGTTGGAGTTATGGTTTGGGGTGCTATAGCTTATGGTTCCAGGTCACCTTTAATCTTCATCAGAGGTAAGATGAACGCGCAGCGTTATATCCACGAAGTTCTAGAACCCCATCTTTTACCCTATCTTGACACCCTGGCAGATCCAACTTTCCAACAAAATAATGCCCGACCACATGTTGCAAGAGTCACAATAGACTTCTTTCAACATTGTTACCATGGCCACCAAGATCTCCCGACTTATCCCCAATTGAGCACGTGTGGGATACGATGGGTAGGAGATTGCTCAATTTGCAACGTCCTCCTCAGACTCTAGAAGCACTTCGAGAGGAGTTGGTGGTTGCCTGGAATGATATACCACAGGAGGACATTGACCACCTAATCAGAAGCATGCCTAGGCGCGTTGGAGAATGCGTAGCACATCAGGGTGCATCCACACATTATTAAAGGTCAAAGGGCTTTAAAGCAGTGCAATCATTTACTTATTATGCTTCATTAAGTACTTCTACAAAATTTTATTAAAATAAAACCATTTAAACTGGGTGTTCGGATTTATGTCACTTAGTATATTTTGGTCTGTAGTATCTCCAGTTTTGAGATTTCCCAAACTTTCGCAGAGTATAACCTTTATTTCAACTTACATAAACTAAAGGCATCATTTTTCTTGAAACAATCATAAATCTCATCTTCATCGCCATCATCTTCATTATTCGGGATCTTCGGTAGAGGTCTATCTTCAGCGTTATTAGTTTTTCTTCCTTCTGTTGCATCTACTGTCTCATTTTGATAAATGTCATTTTCTTTTGTCGTATTTCCATAAACTGGCATCGTGCCAAATCCGCCGTCTTCATCTTCGTTTAGTGTAGCTCTATTCTTCAATTGTTCAGACAATTTTAAAGCAAGATTCCCGATTTCAGCCTCTCTCTCATCGCTGGCTAGGCGTGAGTTTTTCTGATACTTTCTTCTCAAAATCGCCAAATCTTCAGTTGTCACCACATTTCCGTAAGCTTCTGAAAATTGAAACGACATATTTTTTCAACGGTGACGGCTTATGGAAAACCTACCTTCATCAGCGACATTCTCGTATATAGCATCATTATCACCATTTGGAAGTAACGTTCGCCATGGTTTCTTAGCCTTAGGCATTAAGGGGGGTTTACACTCTTTAGCCGATGTTTTTTTCGCTGCTTTCAAATCTTCTGGTTCAGTATGGGGTACCCCGGACAACGGTCTATTTGAACCTTTGACTTCTTTCCATTTTTCCGAGACAGTTGTAGACTTCTGACTTACCAGTTTCAACGGTTTGCTTCGTAAGCTTTTCATCAAAGCTCCGTGGAGAAAAGAAAATCTAACAGAGGGCTTAATGCGTTGCTTTTCAACGTTTACTGTTGTGTGATTCGTTGTTTCTTCGTCCACGGACTGGTAGGTGTCACTGGGCAAGTCTGGAAGCTCTCTATATGATAAAATATAACGTTTGATGATATACAGGGTGGCCCAATTTAGAAATCTAAAGTGTAACACAATGTCTTATCTTTGGATTACCCTGTATTGTACGGCTATAGATGAAAAAACATGCCTTGCCTTCCTGAACAAAAGACCGCCTAGGACCAAACCAAACCTATCATTAGTATCTGTGAACTAGGGGGATAAACTTTGCTTGATTTGTAAAAATGGTGAATGTCCCGATTGTAGTTCTCGGTTTAAGGCGGCTCCGACGCAGTGAGTTTCAAGCCATTTACAAGGGTTCAGCTGCTTCAAAACCGACACTCCATTTTTCAATATTTTTGAATCAAATTCATACAGTATGTTGAGACGATAATTGCCCAGGGTGCTATAGGAGCACTTTTTGAAATTTTGTTTTTGCACAAGTTTTATGATGGGTTGAAGTGCGTACTTTTTCTGTTCAACTTCGCGATTTTTTTAAAAAGAACCTAGTGAAAAAAATGAAAAAATGAAAAAGTGCCTCTATAGCACCCTGTGGAGTTTTGTTTTCAGCACTCTGTGAAAATTTCATCCAGAAATATCAAAAAATAAAGCATCAATTTCGAAGCGCGCAAACCTCTACAAATCGTATTTTGGACGAATTTCGTCTACTGTTTCGTGCTGCAAACCCAAGCGTTGCGGCGCAATGTACGGACTAAGAAAGGACGTATTCAGATAATTTGGTGGTCCTAGTTCATATAATATCGCGTAGATAAGTAGTTCTGCAAATAGGTATACTTTATCTGAAGTCACTTGAAATAGCATAAAAACCTTTGGTCGGCGCGTCCTTTGTAATTTCATGACGTATCATAGGCGTGCGGTCATTTATTTAGAACGATAATAATAATGTTTTTATATCACAATAAATGGATTTTACTATCTTCTTATTTTTTTGATTTGGGATAAAAAATACTTATATTGGGAGTTTAATTTATGTTGACTGAAAGTTAAGAAATGGAAAAATTACAGAATTCCAACGTTTGACATAGGCAAATATTTACATAGCAGGTAGGTATATAAAAAGGTATATAAAGACTTACATTATAGGTATTTATATATCATCCTCGCCTTCGGAGCTGTCGCTAGAGTCATCTTGTAGAGGAATTACAACGGGATTTACAGGAGGCAAAACACAATATTCATTTTCTTTTTCAATAATATGCCTAGAACACTGCTTCCATAGGTCTGTGGCAGCAATATGAGATACTGCATCTCTTATTGTGGCCAATAGCGATTCACTTAATTGAGGGGTCTGATTATGTTGTTTTCTTACTTTTTTTTTTAAAGCAGCTCAGACCAACTCAATCGGGTTAAAAATGCAGTAATAGGGAGGTAGACGTAATACTTCATGGCCATTTTGCTGAAGCAGATTGTCAACAACATACTCTTTTTCAAATTTTTGTCTTTTAATAAGATCCAATAATATGGCTTTGGTTGATTTTTGTGGTATTTCCATTCCCTTATCCTTCATAAAATCAATAATGTCTTGTTTTTTTGTGCCTGTATTCGGAATTTTGTTTTTCTGTCGGGAATGGTATGGCGCATTATCCATAATAATCACTGAATTTGGGGAAATGTTTGGTATTAACTGCTGCTCTATCCACTTTTCAAATAAGTCGGAGCTCATGTCCTCATGATAGTCGGCACATGATTCTTTGATATTTTTGGCAGATAACAGCAAGGCATTAGGTATAAATCCATTTTCACTGCCAGCATGGAGAATAATGATTCGTTTTCCACGGTTGCATGGTGCATTTAAAATGCACTTGTTGCTGTCGTCAACCCAGCCGTACTGCACAACATCATGGGTATCATACCACGTTTCATCCAGGTAAATCAGATTTCTTTTCTGCTCTCTATAGATTTTAACTTTGTGCAAAAATTCTTGGCGCGATTCAACGATTCGAGACGACTCCATAATCACCATTCTTTTATCTAATTTTTTGTATTGAAAACCACACAGTTTTACAATACAGTGCAGTGAGTCTAAGCATTTGTAATTATAAAAATCTTCAGGATAATCTTTTAATTTATCCCGTATCATTTCCAACGTGGGCACCAAATTTTCTTTATAAAATCCGTATATTATACGACGAATATCTTCCTGAAAACCCACGTCTATTCTTTTTAATTTTTGCCCTATGCGCTTACTGTGGAAGGAATGGTTGACTACATCTCCCCTTTTTACAACCCAATAAATGGTAGACCGACTGATTTTTGTCAGGATACAAATTCTGTTTAAAATTTGATTTTGCGAGGAATCTGGATTTTCGTTTTTTCATACATATTTAGGATTACTCTTTGGGTCTGTTCCTCTGAATCTTTATGAAAGAATTCTGCCTGCACAGGTTCATCAACCAGCTCCTCGTGGCTTGGAGCATTTTCCCAAGGTCTCCAAAGAGCCATATTTAGGACACACAACAATTAAATCAACAAGTAAACTGAGTATTCAAAAGTCAAAAACACACAAACTAATAAAATCTATGAAAAAACACGGACAGACTAAAGAAAACACGTTTATTCACCGCTACACGGCACTGGCTAAACTGTTTCAATTTTCAGTAGCCACCTGCACTTGTTCGGACCTCTGAAATACACGCTTTCTCATTGGCTATGTCCACGCATAGGCGTGCTTTACTCCACGTGGACCGGTGAAACTGCCTTTGATCTTATACGGGGGATATTTGCTGCGAAATTTGGCGATTTTTGCAGCAACAGAGCGTGTTAAATATGGATATATAAAACGCACCCGGTATTTCACAGTGTTTCAAGTGACTTCAGATAAAGTATACTCATAATCGCGATCGTTAATACTCCTCGATTTTAAAGCCGTTTTACTTCCCACGTCATTAGCGAGGAAGTATTGTAATCGCGAAAAATTTCTAAAATGAGATGTTATGTGTTTTTAAGTCATATGACATCTACATCACGAAAAACAGTATCACTCATCAACTTGGAAATAACCGCTCGGATTAATACTCGTGCGGAATTCCTATCCTGTCATCAAGGGCTGCGTTCGTGAATTGTTACAGAGTGTAATTTATACTACTCTGTAACATATTCAGCATTCGTAATTGTTTGACGTGCATGTTCATGCGTTCGAAAATAGAACAAAGCAATCCTTCTTGTACGTCAAAAGTGCCTAGGCGTTGTCGCTTTTCATCATCAAGATAGTTTGTTAATTTTAATTCTTTATCAAAAGTGTTTAAAATTGTCAGATGGATCCGCGCTGTCATTACATGACTACGTGATAATTTAAGCGACTTAAAAATAAAGTGACACAGTAACAGAATGAAATTTCATCTTTTAAACGCTCCATCACTGAGTACGGTATTACATTATCAAGTGATTTACATTTAGATCCTTTGGCTCCAAATGATTAGACCTATACCGTACTGATGATTGCTATACTACAACTATTTAAAACTGTAATGACTCATACGCGTGATCAACACGTGATCAGAGCTCGATCCCGGCGTACGACATATGTCGTTTCTGTGGCTTTGCGCTGGTCAACAGCACAGACAGAAATGAAAATAATGGCTGATTGTTCTCCGCCGGTAGAACCAATGAAATCAAAGACCCGCCTCGACCGGCAGACTCATAGGCGTCGGCAACGCATTGGAACGTGTTTCGTTGAGCGATCGCATATTGTGTGTTTTTATAAGAATTGTTGTGTGATTGTTATTGTTGTGGTTTCTGTGGTTACTGTTTTGATTATACTTAACCATGGAGAGTACAAATGGCACGAGTGGAAGTACTGAAAGCCAGGGAACAAGTAGACGGCTTCGTAAAGCACTGGAGAGGGACGCGAAAGAAATCGTGCTCAACGTGTTCAATTATCTGAACAGAACTATGTCGCAGGGAGATGCACTCGCGCGTTGTGAAAGTATGACAGGCGTTCCAGAGTGGACCATTCGCAGGGTGGTGCATGAAAAGAAGAAAACTGGAGCCTACTACTGATCCAAAGTTTAATTTGAAGGGACGAAAGGTCGTTAAATTGGATGACGTTAGCAAAATGGCGTTAAGGCGAACCGTACATTCATTCTTCTTTAGGAATGAGATACCAACCCTCAAGGCTGTACATGCAGCGATCAAGGAAAATGAAATTATACCCCAAATGAGCGTCGAGGTAATGAGGAAATCCCTGCACGAAATTAATTTTCGTTACGAAACGCGTAATCGGAAGTCAGTATTGATAGAGAGACCTGAAATAGTCGCCTGGCGTCGAAAATACCTACGCGAAATGATTGAATATAGGCGACAAAGCAGAAAAATCTATCATTTGGACGAGACATGGGTAAATGCAGGTCACACAGTTAAAAAAACCTGGATAGACAAAAACGTAGTAAGTAACCGACAAGCAAGCATTGAAGGTTTGTCAACAGGTCTTCGTGGACCGTCAGGGAAAGGTCAAAGATTGATCGTAACTCATATTGGTAGCGATAGTGGCTTTTTAGAAGAGTGTGACTTGATTTTCGTCTCTAAGAAAGTAGGTGATTACCATGACGAAATGAATGCCAGCTGCTTCGAGAGCTGGTTTCAAGGGGTGCTTCAGCGAGTTGAGCCCAACTCTGTGATCGTCATGGATAATGCTTCCTACCATAGTCGTCGAGCCGAACGTGTACCGACTATGGGATCTCGAAAAAGTGACATGCAGCAATGATTGCGCGAAAAATGAATCCCGTTTGACGATTCATGTGTGAAAGCGGAATTGTATGAAAAAATTAAACAGCACAAACCTGCGAACATTAGTTACGTGACTGATGAGATGGCCCGTCAATGTGGTGTCACTGTGTTGCGGTTACCGCCCTACCACTGTGAACTGAACCCAATAGAGCTCATCTGGGCTCAAGTGAAGGGTTATATTGCGCGCCATAACACAACCTTCAAATTACCAGACGTTAAGGTTTTACTTGAGACTTCTATACAGCTAGTAACGCCCGAAGCTTGGCAGAATGCTATCCGTCATGTCGTGAAGGAAGAAACATAAATGTGGCAGCTTGACCACCACAACGACACCATCATAGAGCCAGTTATAGTCAATTTCAACGAGGAAAGCGATAGCGAAAGTTTATTACTGTCAGATGTAAGTGGAAGCGACGATGAATAAAGGTAATTCCCAAATTTTTGACTTACAATATGTTTCAAACCACTCTTTATTAAGCATGTGACAAATCTAGTTCACCCATGTTAAACATTCATACCCCGCCTATGAACAGCCGACTACTGATAGTTAAGTGATGTTCACGTGAACATCGATGAGTCATTACAGTTTTAGATAGTTATAGTATAGCGAGCGTTAAGAAGGCAGACCTATTCACCTTGTATACCTACTGCTATAGCGTTAAATTCAAATTACTCTCTTTTGATAGCGCTGGATATGAAATAGATAAAAATTGCTGCATACCTAGTCCTTAGTTTCAGCTTAACTTTCTTGACCGTAACCGACTCAACTTTAATCAAAGACGATGCTGCTGGTTTATCTGGTGGTGCCTCATAATTCGGCTCTTCATCGAGTTGATTCTCAATCGTGAGCTTCGAACGATTCGACACTAGATAACTGTCATCTTTAGAGATTGAGACGTTGCTTCCCATATCTATGTAACTCTCATCAGGCTCCAACAAATTATTCATCTTCATTCCTTCGTTATCGTGTTCGTTAGAGTAATTCCTTGGATGATCGTAAATAATGGTTGATTCCATTTTATGTTTATCTATATTATTCTGTTTCACCCCTGCGTTCCTATCTTCTTGGGGTAAGGGCATTGGGGGTTTTGTTACAGTAGGGTTATTTGCTCTTGGAGGTTTGGAATATGGTGTTGAAGCTTTTGTAGTAGTCGCTACATTGTCTGTTTTTGTTTTAGTGGATTTTTTGATATTTGATGGAACCGTTAAGCTTTTGATGGATAAAATGGATGGATTTGACTTGACATCGTTTATAAATTTGACAACCTTTTTCCTTTCTCCTATAGGCATTTTCCATTGGAGGATTTGTATCTCGGGCATAGTCTAGAATAATAATGATTATATCCTTATTTCCATTAGACTCTACAATAGTGTTGGAACTGTCATCATGAACTAAAATTGGTACACTCACATTTAAAAACAAAATACAATGTAAGAAAGCCAATAAGTATCAGGTACTCAAACAAAATCATATAAAGGATTATTTATAAGAAATTTTCTGTACATCCTCTTAAAAAGTGCTGTGGATTGGATAATTTGTACGGGAAATGATTCATTAGCTCATTTCAGGAAGAAAAGTTTATTTGAACATATGTCCTATTACTTTCCGGACAAACCCTGTATCACTGATGTTTAATAAAACCTAGCGGATCTCAGAATCGCAATAACAGATGGCTACTTTATTTTTGTTTACAGTAGGGTACAAAATTTCAGGTAGAACATGTTGACATTTGCTACTATAATTTTCACACCTTCATTATCAAAGTGTAAAGTATAATTATCCAAGTTATTCATGTCTAACACGAGAATATACGCTTACCATCAAGCAATTTCCGTCGATGTTTTCCATACTCAAAATATTAGCTATGTCTGCAAATCCACTCTGAAATAAAAAGGAAATTCGTATACTGACCAATAACTAATTATGGTGGATCCGACAAACATCTTTTCTTACAGTGAATGGTTTACGTTTTAACTAATTACAAAAATTGAGTAGACATTCCCTACGCATCATATTAAAATTATAGGGCATTTTGGACTACAACCAATAATTATAGGATAATTTGGGATGCAAATTTCAAATATGACGTCAAAAAATCGTAAGATATCGTGGGGCCAAATTTGAAAAATAAAATGTGTCACTTGAGTATTTTTTGTTATCTCTCCTGTTTCCTACACTAACGATGAAAATCGTAAAAAAAATCGATATGTATTCAATTTCATCCAGCTTGATGACATATAATTAAAAAGGTGTTTTGACTATACAAACTTGACAATGTTCTTACCTGTTTGATACACTGCAGTAACTGCTCTTTATTTAAACTTTTAATATTATTCAACTCCATCTTAATCACTTCGCACTATAAGGCAATTCTATCGCAACTACAAATTAATACCGCGGATTTCTTATCATACAGCAAATGATACAGCCACTTCCTATTACAATGTGATAGCAAGAAAAAATACATCTCGTTATCAAGTGGGCAGCGTCATCTCGAACAGACTGCGATTTTTTACTCCACTGCATATAAATTTCCGTTATAAATTACATGTTTTTGTATGTCTGACGTCTCTGGTCATGCAAGAAATGGTAAAAGCTCTAAGTGAATCAGAGCCACCTTTTTGAAAATATATTGACGATCATTTCAAGTCGATAGTGCTACTTGTTTGTTAAGCCTTAACAATAAACCGAATATGTTTTTTCAATTTTAAAGATTTTCCTCGTGCTCTGCTTAAGATGCGCTACAAGATGATAAAATAATGTATCCGATTTCATTGAGACTACATTATTTATAAGATTTTCACCCTCAAATGTCAACATTTGGTTATTAATTCTGATCCACTGTTCTTAAATACCTCTGATATTTGACACATGTATATAATGAGTAATATCGAAATGATACAGCACACAATACACAAAGTGCCATCTATTATACGGATCGACCACTGCGAGAGTGAAAACAACAATCTGTCTATTGAAACTGCATCCCAGTTCGCATTATCAGCTTCGTTCACTATTCTATCTTGGACCAAGCCTACACTATGCTAACGAGTTGCCAAATAGCACGAAACAGTCCATGATTGGTCGTCTGGGGTCTAATAACGAAAGCTACATTACTAGAATAAATAATGTTGCCATATTGTTTTGCTATTTATTCTGATTTCTTACAATTTGAGAAAAAACGCTCCCTGCCATTCTTTTGCTAATCTGCTGATATGGCGCCCATGTACGAGAACGTTTAGCCGGTTAATAATATTTACATGGGAATTTCAATTCTTACTTTTGCTTGCTCTCTGCTAAAATCACACGTCATAATAAACGTCACGACGTTGTCATTAAATTTTTAGGTTAAGTCTTGACAGCTCATTTCAAAACAAATTCAAAAAGTATGGAGGAAGAAGATAAAAAGGATGACGATGTGTTAAAAAAGATCCAAAATGACGGTATTGAAATCATATTTTTAGCCCTCAATCATTGTTCAATGAACTTTGAATTTTTCAGACTTTATCAAGGGATTTCTCAATTCCGGAACCGCTAAATCTGTCCTAAGCACCTCTTTGAGTATAACTGAGCAAGTAAAAAAATTGGGAGAAGCTATCGACCAGTTGAATCGTGAACTTCAGAAGCAAGTGCTTGAAAAACATACAGACTTGCTTCAGCAGGCAAGCCATGCTACAAAGCTAGAAGTAGTCTTAAATACAATGAATATGCATGTACAAAGCTTGTTTGCAAATGCCGAACGCCTAAAAACACAGGTAAGTATTATCATTAATCTTTAAAACAATCAATGTATTAAAAATGTTCCTGAGGTTTTCTTATAGCAAAGTACCCTTTAAGGTGTCCTGGAGTTTGCCTATGTTTCAAAATTTGAATATCTGCACAATTTGGACAAAAATTATATCTTTTGCTTGCAGATTTCTGTGCCATACAATGAGTTAGAAAAACACACAGTGGTATTAGGGAGATTGCATCTAGCCAGCCATATATTGAGACAAGTTAATAGATTGCAACAACTTAGCAAAAGATTGAGCTGTACTGTTGATCCTGTCCAAAAAGCTACAATTCTCCAAGAATTAGGTAATTAAACGCTTGTTATAATTTATATCATTACATGTGATGATAGTGAAACTATATTCTGACTCCAATAGCATCCTTGTAGGTTTCATATATTTTGCTTAACATCACATTAATTTATATTATTGTTGTAAGACTTATGCTAGTGGTAGTACAGAATGATTCTGCTTTAGTTCTCTGTAGAAACCTGAATAAATCTGTTATTATTCTACAAACTAATTGATTGATTATTAGAAAATCTGGCAAGTGATCCTGAGCTAGAGGACATAGATGCAGTTACTACTGAGCTAAGAAATATAAGAGCACAACAACAGAAAATTGTTCAAATGGCCAATGGGTCTTTACATCAGGGGATCAACCATGAAAATGTTACACAGACTACAACTGCATTGCAGGTTTGTCCTTAGTTTAAGTATTGAAATTTTTTGTTTATCAGAGATTTGATTCTTACTTTTGTTGATAACTATAGGGCTGGGAACAGTAGTTGCATTTTCATTTGATTATAACTAAAACACAAACCTCTATTTTAGAAACAGAATACTGCTAGTTTTCAGGAACATTTAGTTTTTTTTTGTTGTTCATATAAACCTGAAAATGCCTTTGAATCTACTTCAAAAATTGCTTGTTAAATATCAGTAATTGTAACAAAACTGAGTTCATACTGTTTCTTCTAGATATTCATCAATTTAGGAATGATAAAATCAACAATTGACAGTTTTGTTGAGCACAGTCTCTATGAATGTCGTGAAGGATGGAAATCTGCTTTTGAAGTATCTTCTGCTTCAAGCAAAACAAAAGGAGGGTCTGCTGTTCAACTGTCTTTTTCACAAGGATTCAGAAGCAAGACATGGACTGAATTGGAAAAAGTGTTTTCAGAAGATATTTACCAAACCTGCAAACATGTAAGCAACATTTATCAATTTATGCTAGGTTTGAATACTGTATGTTTTTTGAGACCATGGGATTACAAAGAAAAATCTTGGTAACAGGTATTTAAGATTCTTTTCAGGCTATGTGAGATTAGTGCCATAATTCTAGATATCTTTCTTCAAATATTTTGTCATGGGCAACTTTATTTTCTTAATAGGTGAAATTTCTGCAAAACACTTTGAACAATGTACATGTACAAAATGTGCAAATATCTTTTGCCAAAAAATTCTGGATAGATTTTGGCAAATTCTTGGAAGATGACATTGGAAAAACATCTCCAGCTGTTCAACAGATGCTAGAAGAAGATTATCCAAAGCTGCTCAGGTGCTACAACACATTGATAAAGAAGCTTAAATATGATTACTTCGTATATGAGTAAGTCAGACTTAGATCTTTTTCACATACTGTATACTTACTGAAATATGTTAATATACATAGTTTATAATGAAATGTTATGCATTTTAGTTCTAAGGTGTTGAAGAAACTTGAGAGCTCATACCTATCAACTTCTCTGGCAAAAATGTTGGATCCCACACAGTCCATGTTTAGTAATGAAGGTGTCATTCCAACACATGATCAGATTGATTCATTGATCAGGATACTTACAAGGTCGGTATTAAGGATATTGTGGAAGTATGATTTGATAGTTAATTTCTTTTAGTGAACTGAGTATAGCACTGGTGGAAGAAAATCTGAGTGAACAAGTGGCAAAAAATGTTGCAAAGTGCATAAAAATGTTTGCTGTGAAGGTGGAACAACAAGTTGAATCAGGACCAGAGGCAGCGCAAGTAATAGGTATGATCACATTACTTGACTGCAAGCTTGTATTTTTTAAGTCCTGAATTAATTTTGTGTTGTAATAACATTTAAACCAAATTTGATTAATTTCATTTCTAACAGGATATTTTTATAGGTGGGGCTCCAAACATGGGCCAACAAAAAAATGTTAACCTAGCCAACTCCTTGCACTATCTCCAATTACAAATACAGAGGATGTTGTCGAATATGAAAGAGAGTTTAAATGATCCAAGTATGAAAATTATCAATGACAGTCTTAAAGCTCTTGCTGATTTGACAGCTGCTATAATCCAACCTCTGATAGGTAAACAATTTAATATATACAAGGTTTTTTTAAAGTTGCGTCATTTATTTTAGCTGCTTGTAGGAATCGTCAAAAAGAGTTGATATTCCAAAAATCACCTCTGTAAAACTTGCACAATATGAGAGATAGTTTATATTATTAAAAATTATTTAAAAAAAATCATTATAAATTTAAATGGATACTGTTCTACAAAAACTGTCGGCGAATCCACGACTCTTTACCCTGTATATTGTTTCCATTTTGCTTACTTTATTTTTTCTTCAGTTTCTATGAATGCTGTAATTGAAACTATCATTGTGACTATACATTTGGAAAGCGACTGGGCAAAGTTGAACATACCAAATAAGCATTATCATTCTTGTTCTCCATACATGAAAGAATTGAACGAGTTTGTTTCAAGAGCCTACAATATATATTTGGCAAAGTTCGAGAACAAGGAAGTTCTGGCTTCAAAGTAGGTATTTTGTCATGTGTCTCAGAAAAGATGCAATTTTTTTTGTTTAATACTGTTATCAAATGAAAACGGTGAATTTTTGTTTTAGATGTGGAGAAATCTGTGTGAGAACTATTGAATTGTTTATTCGGCATAGTTCACTACTAAGACCTTTATCCCAAGGTGGCCGCATACGACTGCAATCTGACTACCAGCATTTAGAAAATACACTGAAACTGATCTATCCTCAGTTGGCCGATCTAGCGCAACCGTATCGTCTGCTGAAATCGATGGCGACGTTGATAACTCTGTCCCCAGAAGAAATAGGTAAAAAACAAGACGGTATTTTTAAAATTTAAAAGTTTATAGTTCATGTTAGACTTGATAATAAATTTTTCATTTTTTTTTTTAGTATCTAGACAAATGAAAGGTAGCTGCATCCCCGACAGCACAGTTCTCTTCACCCTGTTTGCGTTTGCTGGTTCCGATCTGGCCAGTCCGCATCAGAACACAAGTTGGTCTTTGCCAAAACTTTCCGCATGGTTGGATGAACACAAGTCTGATGCAGACAGGCTTGACCTGATTGCTGGCGCGTTGCAAAAATACGAACAGATTGTCAGGCAGAAAGAATCTGACAAGTATGATCCAGTGTATCCGATAATGGCGCAGTTTTTGGAGCATTCCATTAGACGGAGTGATTGAAATCGTTTTATGTATATTTTATGGAGTAAAGGAATTTATCGTTTTTACTTTTATTTTGTTTTATTCGCTGCTAGTGCTCAATACCCAAACCTTAGCAAAGAATGGCTACATCTTACAAAAAGAAAAGTCAATGTAAAAAGCGCTAGGGTTTGCTCGAAGCATTTTTGTGAAAGTGCCTATAAGGTCAATTTAAAACACACCTTTTTGGGTTACACCCCTAAAAGTTACCGTGCTCTAAAAGATGATGCCATTCCTATGGAAAATTTACCCAAGTCTCTATCATCACATGGACCATCTACATCTGTTGGTGGGAAAAAGCGGAAAAGTGCTTACGAAAAAGGGCAAAGGGCTCAACTTTTCCCCTAGAGTTTAAGTATAGAATAAGGTCATATATTTTGGGGCGAAACGAAAGCGCATACTCAGAGTATTACACGGTTGAAATATTTTATTTAAATCCGCCATTTTGTTTTGTATAAAATTTTAATTTAGATTTTGTCACTCGCACCGCTAAGACGAATCCAACGACACTTCATATGTGAAAATCCGTCCAGCCGTTTGGCCTGTAGGTGAAAATACGCACGTTATCCATATCAACCCAAATGATAATCACTCTCCGCGTGACGTCATGCGCGCCGGCGGACGAAAATCGCGAAGCATCCGTCATTGATGCTTAACCTACCGTACCATATTGACTGATCTATATTGAGAAAGATATTGACCTATTTATAACGTACTCGATAGTCGATAGTTCTCACCCATCAATTGTGTGCTCCATGTCCCATCTCTACTGAAACGTCATTAGGTTAACCTCAATATTTGTGTACAAAATGATAAAAATTAGTGATAGTCATTATTTTTAGACTATTGGACTACGTCGATCCCTTTTAATGCCTTATACAAATAATTGTTGTAAAAACAATGAGCATTTACTCTGTGATAGCTGCCAGTCATAGTGGGATACCGAAACTGTATGTAAAGCACTTGAAAGTAGTTTTTGGTAAAAGAGGGCCCCTAAACCGGACGCTGCGAACGATGACGCCGACAAAAAAGACGCCGCTTAACATTAAAGACCCCGCTTATGTAGTCGTAAAAGTGTCTGAAGAGGAAGCCCCACAAAGAACTTCTTGGTTTGCTAGGCTTTTTCGCAGGAACAAATCGACTGGCACAGTGACCAGCAAAACAGAAGGTGTCGCTCCTGACACATCTAGGCTTAATCGTTCAGAATTGAAAAGACTGTTTTCATTAGCCAAACCAGAAAAATGGAAACTAACAGGAGCTATAGGTTTCCTCCTAGTTTCTAGCTCAGTTACTATGTCAATTCCTTTTAGTTTAGGTGAGTAATATAAGGTACAAAAAGATCACTGAGTCAAAACTGCTGTATAAATTTCTAATCATGTGAATAATGTGTGAAAACCATTATTAAACCTTCCATTGTTGAGTGTAGGTATAGTACCTGGAAAATGTTTTTCCAAAGACAAACATGATTTCTATGTGCAAAGGAAAGTTACAATACAGTTATAAATGGTTAGTGATTTGTCTTTACTGTACTTGCATATAGAAATTCTTTCTATAAGGTTATGTAATAAAAATTGTATAACTTATGCTACCAATAATGATATGTGAACTAACAGCAGACAGGGGTCATCCAGAGGTTGAAATTTGAATGGTGGGGGAGGGTGATGTCTATGAGTAAATGGCCTTAAGACAGTTGAAAAGCAGGGGTGCCACACTTGAAAATAAGCAAGAATTCACAATAAACCTAGACTGCACAAAAAGTATGGCTGGGAATGCCTTCAAAATTTTATCATTGTATACTTCCATGATAGCAAATATGTTTTTATCAAAATTCAATAAACAATTCTGGGTGTTGCATTTTATATGCCACTTAGTTTATAATGTCAGCTAATGAAAATGGTCTAGTCCACATAAATTTTGTTTGGCATATACAGAAAAAATTCTGGAAGGTGTACACAGACTCATTTTTGTTCATAATTTTTTTGGCTACTAATCTACACCCTTTTTCATTCCATTCATCATGATAACTGGCAATGCATAGTTCAGGAATAGCAATCAAAGATGATGCCACAGAACTTACAAATCATCCTGCACTGGTTTTCTTTCCATATGACTGCAGTTTTCTTGATATTGATCTACAGTGAAAAACGCTATCAGAACAGTCCATGAATCTCTGACCCATGTTTTGATAACACCCTGTTAAAATAATATATTTGCCACTTACTCACTACCTCAAAGAAATCATAAATTGTAATTTGGTGTTCTCAAATTTCAATAAGTCAGTCACAGTAATTCAAGTTTTGTATATTTTCACAATCCTGAATAGGAAAATATAATATTCGATTGCCACTCTTTTGGAAATAATTGTTTCAGGAATCTATACTTTTAAAGGTTATGCTTTATACTCTGTTTAGGAAAAGTATTGGATATCATCTACACAAAGAGCAATGACCCTGTTGTGAGTGATCCCAGACAAAACCTGAACAAAGTCTGCGGTATATTGCTGTGTATATTTATATTAGGAGCAGCTTGTAACTATGGCAGAATATATTTCATGTCTACTGCTGGATATCGAATGACTAATGCTCTTAGAAGAAAGGTAATCATAATATTTAAACTGCTTGACCTATATAAAGTAAAAGCCACGTCATGTTAAGGTAATAGAAATATTTCGTTTCGAAAATATAGGTATTTGGCGCTATTCTGCGTCAGGAGCAAGGTTGGTTCGATCGCCGCCCAACTGGAGAGCTCATCAACAGACTATCAGCGGATACCCAACTTGTAGGCACTGCACTTTCCATGAACATTTCAGATGGTTTAAGGTCTTTCGTCATGGTTTGTGCTGGAACTGGAATGATGTTCTACATGTCACCTGAACTTGCTCTGGTTAGTGTATATTTTCTTATATTAGTAAACTAAAGTACAAAGCGTTGTTAAACATAACATATACGATGTCAGCGGCAGGTTGTTTTCATCTCAATATCGAATCACTTGTTGTTCAGGTGGGCCTAGCAATTGTACCCCCTTTGGCTGGGATAGCAGTCGTTTACGGGCGTTTTGTACGAGGAATTAGTAGGAAATTGCAAGATGCACTGGCGGAGTCCACAAAGGTAGCTGAAGAGCGGATCGCCAACGTTAGAACAGTCAAGGCATTCGCGCAGGAACCTAGGGAAATTCATACATACCAACAGGTCATTAAAGACGTCCTACAACTAGGATACAAGTATGTGATTTGATTACACTTGAGAGTAAAATAAATTACTTTTAAGGGATCGGAATTCTCAGAAGTTTTAGACTTACTAAAGACAAAATATACTAAGTGACATATAAAATGCAACACCCAGAATTTATTTATTGAAAGTCCAGATTTTGTTTGGGCACACATCATGACCATGCAAGAGTAAGGGGGAGTCGTGGTGAAAGACGAACGGCATATTCATGGCCCTATGGGTGTTATGGTATGGTGCCATTGCTCAAAATTACAGCACTCGTAGTTGGTGTTGCATTTTCTATGTCGATTAGTATACTCCAATATGGAGTATTGCATCGATGAATCGGTTCTTTTTCTTGTCTCTTCTCGAGCAATTGAATAATATTTTTTATTTCACTAAAAAGTATTAAAGTACACAGCACTAAGGTTATGTAGATCACGCAGGTTTGAACAGGTTACAACTTGTACGCGCCACCGCTATCGTGCTCGACGCGTAAGCATTGTTTTACTTAGTTTGGATTTGACTACTTGTGATAGCGGTACGGCCTAGCGTGCGTTCATTGTTTACTATTTATTCATTGTGTATTAAGTATAGTACCTAGTAATGTCATCACAAACTCAGAAGCGAAAGCACAAAACATTGTCAATTAAAGAAAAATGTGATATTTTAGACCGCTTAAATCGCAATGAACCATCCTCCTTACAGTCCAGATCTTGCTCCATGCGACTGTGCACTGTTTCCGGATGCGAAAATGAAGCTGAAAGGCTGGTTTAAGGACTGGTTTTGGCGGATGGAGAAGTGGCAATTACTTTGAACGAAGTCAGTAAATAAAGCTGTATTGCAAAACTTTCATGTACCCTTTGTAGTTACTGGATGTCAAATGTATTAGAATTTAAGGGTTAGTTCAAGTGATCAGTGGCAATTAAACCCTAATTAATCGAATACAAACATGACAGTATGACAACGCGTGTTTAGGGTATGAAAAATAGAAAAAGCTAGTCCATTTGAGAATACTGGGGTGGCGGATCTCGTGGATTAAGATTATCGTAAATACTGTAATTCAATATTCACACTCCTAATACTAATAGATGTTTTATATATTCTTTCTAGAGAATCAAAAGCTAGAGCATTTTTTTATGCTCTAACAGGTTTCAGTGGACACGTGATAATAATATCTGTGCTATATTATGGAGGGGTAATGGTATCTGCAAATACAATCACTGTAGGAAACCTATCGTCTTTTTTGCTGTATGCAGCTTATATAGGTAAATATGATTTGTTTTCTGTATCCATAAATGTTAAATTTCTTAGAGACCCAAATTACACGAGATGTGGCAATTGAGGTCCGGGATTTAGTAGTAACAGGGAAACTAGCAACACTGTCTCATTCGCATTCTGTCTATACTACAACTATTTAAAACTGTAATGACTCATACGCGTGATCAACACGTGATCAGAGCTCGATCCCGGCTTCCTTCCAGTACAGCCGTATAGCGTACGACATATGTCGTTTCTGTGGCTTTGCGGTGGTCAACAGCACAGACAGAGATGGAAATAATGGCTGATTGTTCTCCGCCGGTAGAACCAATGAAATCAAAGACGCGCCTCGACCGGCAGACTCATAGGCGTCGGCAACGCATTGGAACGTGTTTCGTTGAGCGATCGCATATTGTGTGTTTTTATAAGAATTGTTGTGTGATTGTTATTGTTGTGGTTTCTGTGGTTACTGTTTTGGTTATACTTAACCATGGAGAGTACAAATGGCACGAGTGGAAGTACTGAAAGCCAGGGAACAAGTAGACGGCTTCGTAAAGCACTGAGGAGGGACGCGAAAGAAATCGTGCTCAACGTGTTCAATTATCTGAACAGAACTATGTCGCAGGGAGATGCACTCGCGCGTTGTGAAAGTATGACAGGCGTTCCAGAGTGGACCATTCGCAGGGTGGTGCATGAAAAGAAGAAAACTGGAGCTACTACTGATCCAAAGTTTAATTTGAAGGGACGAAAGGCCGTTAAATTGGATGACGATAGCAAAATGGCGTTAAGGCGAACCGTACATTCATTCTTCTTTAGGAATGAGATACCAACCCTCAAGGCTGTACATCCAGCGATCAAGGAAAATGAAATTATACCCCAAATGAGCGTCAAAGTAATGAGGAAATCCCTGCACGAAAAAAATTTTCGTTACGAAACGCGTAATCGGAAGTCAGTATTGATAGAGAGACCTGAAATAGTCGCCTGGTGTCGAAAATACCTACGCGAAATGATTGAATATAGGCGACAAAGCAGAAAAATCTATTATTTGGACGAGACATGGGTAAATGCAGGTCACACAGTTAAAAAACCTGGATAGACAAAAACGTAGTGAGTAACCGACAAGCAAGCATTGAAGGTTTGTCAACAGGTCTTCGTGGACCGTCAGGGAAAGGTCCAAGATTGATCGTAACTCATATTGGTAGCGATAGTGGCTTTTTAGAAGAGTGTGACTTGATTTTCGTTCGTCTCTAAGAAAGGAGGTGATTACCATGACGAAATGAATGCCAGCTGCTTCGAGAGCTGGTTTCAAGTGGTGCTTCAGCGAGTTGAGCCCAACTCTGTGATCGTCATGGATAATGCTTCCTACCATAGTCGTCGAGCCGAACGTTTACCGACTATGGGATCTCGAAAAAGTGACATGCAGCAATGCTTGCGCGAAAAAGGAATCCCGTTTGACAATTCATGTGTGAAAGCGGAATTGTATGAAAAAATTAAACAGCACAAACCTGCGAACATTAGTTACGTGACTGATGAGATGGCCCGTCAGTGTGGTGTCACTGTGCTGCGGTTACCGCCCTACCACTGTGAACTGAACCCAATAGAGCTCATCTGGGCTCAAGTGAAGGGTTATATTGCGCGCCATAACACAACCTTCAAATTACCAGACGTTAAGGTTTTACTTGAGACTTCCATACAGCTAGTAACGCCCAAAGCTTGGCAGAATGCTATCCGTCATGTTGTGAAGGAAGAAACAAAAATGTGGCAGCTTGACCACCACATCGAACAGCCGACTACTGGTAGTTAAGTGATGTTCACGTGAACATCGATGAGTCATTACAGTTTTAGATAGTTATAGTATAGAAATGAGCGTCCCTCCTTTTAGTAAAAGTTTAAATTAGAGGCCCATAGCACATTTGGTTCATGTTTTTTGTTTTAATTTTTGAAAGTAACATATTTAGTGCCGTCGTAAAAAGCATCTTATTATGATTGTACATAATAAAAACGTTTATTGAGGAACAACTCAAGAAGAAAAAACATTGCTTGGGAATTTTATTTAGGCAAACATTAGAATCAACATTTCACACAGGAAGCATGCTCAGATTGTCATAAAAAAGCTATTAAAGTCATTGAGAGATAAATGAGTACTACAATTGATTTTGTTTTTCTTTTCACAGCTTACTATTTTACATACGGTCTCACTCTTATTGTCTGAGTTGATTATCAAATTTGAGTAGCTATTCCCTTTTTTACGTTTTAGGGCCTTCCTATAATTTTCACGAGATATCTTGAAGTTAATAGTAATAAATTAATATTACTCTCTATCGGAGAGCCCAGTGTAGAGAGCGCTATGTATTGTATTTTTTATAAATAAAATAACTCTTTAATGTTAAGTATGTTAAGCTGAGTAAATTTTGGTTAATTTTTTTATTGAACTGTTTCTATATTATTTGTTTAAAAAATTACAACTAAAATATATCGTCAGCTACACCGTTGCCAAGCGGGAATTGTTTTTTGAATTTTGTGATAAGTGTTTATTTTTTGTCAAGGTATATCAGTTGGAGGGTTATCTAGTTTCTATTCTGATCTGAACAAGGCAGTAGGAGCAGCGTCTCGCATATGGGAAATCATCGACCGTGACCCTACCATCCCTATTCAGGGAGGCCTTATTCCTGTAGGAACCCCTGAAGGCAAAATTGAGTACAACAATATTAAGTTTGCATATCCATCTCGAGACGACGTACAGGTAATTTGTCATACTCTTTTAAATAGATAACATATTGAAATGTTTCACACCACGTACTCTAGTCATCATTACGATTGCCAGTTTCTGTATCTTTATGGTCCTGGTCGGGGCATGACTATTTCCCTCGTCTTAATTTATACCATAAAGCCGGAATCTTAGGTGGCGTAGAAAGGCCTCGCGATGTCGACGTTAGGCAACCGGAGTTACACCATCATGTATCGCAGCTTGCGAAGCTTTGAGAGCGATTGCGTTCACGTATGTGAGCGCTTGCTGCACTATCTGCACCCAAGGTGTGGCACTCCCGATATGATCTGGCAGATGTGTGCACGGGAGCGGAAAGAAAAAAACCTAACTTGTTTTTCGATGTTTCGCTTTGTTGTAGGTATTAAAAGGTCTAAGTTTGAGCATCTTGCCGGGTCGTACAGTAGCAGTGGTGGGTCCTTCTGGTAGTGGCAAAAGCACATTAGGAGCCTTGTTATTAAGACTTTACGATCCCGATGAGGGCGATGTTCGATTGGATGACCATGACGTGCGCCAGCTAGATCCAGCGTGGCTCAAAAAGTTTATTGGTACCGTAAGTCAAGAGCCTGTGTTATTCTCATGCTCCATCAGGTAATAGTTAAAGGATAATGACTTTTTTATAAAAAATATGATTGTGGATTTTATACATGGACACAAGATTCAGATAGTAGGAAGCATTTAATAGTTTTGCCAAATTGTTCAACATCTAGTTTTGGAAAGGCGATTTGAACACAAATGCTCTTTGTTTCTGGTGTTGTAATTATCAGTAACTTGTGAGTTGCATAATTGTAAGTGAGTTTTAACATGCAACAGAGGCAAGCATGGATGTATACACAACACAGTGTCATGATAATAAATTTATTTTTGGACTTCAAAAGGGTGTTTGAGATTATTGACAGGGATAAATTACTTACAAAATCGCATCACTTTGGATTTAAAATTCTACAAAACTATTTAATTGACATACAGCAGACGCTCGATAATGTAAACTAATTTAATCCAAGTGTGGTTCACATTATCGAAATGTTTACATTAGCGAACGTGATTTATATAATATTTGATTTATTAAAAGAAACGTTTAATACATACTATTTATAACAAAATAAACAAATATTCTAACAGCGATAAGTATTTTTTTAATTAGAAGAAAAATAATTAATAATTTTTGTATGCGTAAATTTGCGCTTAGCATTGTCTGCCAATGCCTGCGCCCGTAATTTACGAAGAACTAAAATATCCGTGTATGAAACTTCTTTTCTTTCAGCCCAATCTAAAGCTTGGTTAAAAACTTGTATAGCTTGCGCGTCAGTCACTACACTTCTGACTTCAATGGGATCGTTCTCATCATACTCACTGTCCATATCCTCCTCCTTATCAGCATCATTCGTCTGCTTATCTTCGTTCCATAAATTAATATCAGCAGGAGTACAAACAATGCTGGGATTCACTGTTTTCAATAAATCAACAACATCCAATGACACACTAATAACATTATCATTATTGGATCGCAAACGTTCTCTAATTACGCTTAAGGGGACATCGTCTTCTTCATCATCTGCATTATTGGTACAAAAGAGATTGTTCCAACATTTTTGAATAGTTTGCTGGTTAAGTTCATTCCAGGCCATATGTAAATCTAAAACAGCTTCTCGTAATGTTACTTTTTTAAAGCCTCAGATAAGTTTTCAGGATTCTTTGATAAGACAGACGAAAGTAGAAACTTCCTATAGTATAGTTTGGTGAGTCTTATTATGTATATTCTGGTGCATCGGTTGAATTAACGGTGTTACGTTGGGCGGCATGTACATGACGAAAATTGACCCATCCCTGCTCCTCAGTTGTTGCTCGGCATCCAATAGTAACAATGCTTTTATTGGAAGCTTCTGTTGTTTTAGGAAAGTTTTACCTACAAATTGAAAACACATCTTCAAATTATGAATAGAGCATTTGTGATAATTGATTGTGGAACCATTTCAGGAATATACTGCTAGTCATCCAAGCGGTTTTTGAACAGTCATAATCAACAGGGATATTAACATTTTTAAATGAGCGCGGATTTTTTGCCTTCCCAATTACCATTGGCTTTATTTTGTGTGATCCATCAGCATTAGTGCAGGCTAGAAACGTTATTCGTTGTTTCTCCTGCTTTCTTCCCGGGGCAGATTTTTCAAATGATGCAGCATAGGTTTTCTGTGGTAACATTTTCCAATAAAGGCCACTTTCATCTGCGTTGTAAATTTGTTCCATTCTTAAATCTAGCTCGGTAATTGTTTTCATCAATTTTTCTTTGAATGGTTGCACTAATTGTGGTTGTGCTGATAATTTTTCACCAGATATAGCAGTCGAATTCCATATCTTGTTTTGAATCGTTGTAGCCAGCCATCACTAGCTACGAAATTTTCAGTTTCTTTCAGTTTTTCATTTAAAAGTCTCGCTCTCTGTTTAAGTACTTCGCCACTAACTGGGACATGATTTTCCCGTTGTTTTAAAAACCACTTATACAGGGAATTTTCCATTTTAGGTGCCTTCGCATTGTTTAAAGTTTTTCTTTTTCCCGGACCTCCAAATGTATTGCACGTTCTTTGTAAAATTTGAGTTTTCATACGCTTAATTTTACAGATTGTTGCTTTAGATACTCCATATTTTTTTGCTGTGTCACTCCCGCACCTAGTGTAACGTCGTCTATGATTTGAACTTTCTCACTCAACTTTAAACACTTTCTTTTATAGGGTGTGGATGCCATAGTCGTAAAATATATTAACGCGTGCAATGTATTCACTTAAGTTCAAAAATGAAATACATACGTACGTATAAATGTATCCTAAACGATCATACGACTGACCGAGTTTGTCGTATTTTATCGCAGAGGTGAATCCCCTACACTCTACATCATACTCCCCGACGCCCGACATAAATCATCGAGGCTTCAGCATTTTACCGTCGCGCTGTTTCCGTGCGCCGAGAGTTGTTTACGTTATCGCGCGTTCCGTTTGATCCTATAGAACGAAGTTTGTGTTTACATTAGCGCAAGTTTTCATTATCCCGTGTTTACGTTATCGAGCGTCTGCTGTATATATATATATATATATATATATATATATATATATGTAGATTCTGATGGATCGGTCCTCCACTCATGGGCTTTTTAGAGTCGATAGGTCCTCCGCTCTGATAGGTCCTCCGTATAAGGAGGACCTATCGCAAATTCCACCTATCGGCCCCTCAGGCCCCCCTCTGTCACCTGGCAAAATTTCAGAGGGATGACCTAGATCATGTTTTTCGCCGAATTTGGGTACCGTAGTTCAGGGTTTTGCCGCGCCGATTTGGTGGACTCACGATCGCTTGGGTATTCAGCCCGTATATTATCAAATATTACCAGTCAGGTCTACAGTGGATCGGTCATCTGCCGGGTATTCAGTATCCAGATTATCGCTTTTAGATCCTCCTTAATATTGGCATCGCTGTATTAGGTATTTTATTATATTTGCTGTGTTAGAGGATCGGCTTTTCACCTTTCTATGTCTGGTGCGGCCCAGTTCGCCGTCAGGCATTATAATAGGGGCGTCCGTGACCGAGAGTACCGTAATGCAGCAATAATATATTTGTTCGATTACTATCATTATTAATATAATTATGATTACGATTATGGTTGTGATTATGATTATGATTACGATTATTATTACTAGTTTTCGGAAAAAAATGTTTTTCCAATCAGGTTTTAGACTCATAACAAGTCGATTTGACATAAGTCACCTCTATGCAAAAGTGCTTCGTTTATTTGCCAACTAGATTTTTACGCTTGATGTGTTAAAACATTTTTTTAGAAACCAGCCCCAAAAAAGGTTTTTTTTTCTCGAAAACTATGAAAGATATCTCGTTTTAATGAGAGACAAAGGATGGAATAAATAAAAAAATCGGTCATGAGGAAAGTTGGGAAAAATTCTGCTACAATTTATGTAGGTGTGGGGGTAGTTTTCACCCTTCCAAAAAGCTCTGGAGTTTTTCGTAAAAGGCAAATATTAGAACGCTGAGCAGAGCATATGTGTTCCAAATTTCATTAAAATCGACCTACCGGCTTTTGAAATATCTTGGAAAACGTGTTTTTAAAAGAAAACTTTGATGCCCCCTAACGAAGCACCTTCGAATACAGATAACTTATGTGCAATCGACTTGTTCTCAGTCTGAAAATAACTAGTAATCTCACGTCCATGGAATATTGGGTCACGATGTGTACAATACATGATTATATGAACAAAGAGCAAAGTTTAGCGTAAAGCTACTCAAGCTAAATTAAAAAGGGTAATATAGATAGACCATTATGCAAATACAACCACATGAATAGAAAATCAAGGATGGTGTAGTATTAAGGAAAAATGTTCACAAAAAAACACTCTCAAATATGATAAAGGTGATGCTCAAATCCAATTTCCTATAGAATAAAATAAAAACAAATATGCTAATCCTAGTTTTACAATTTAAAAAATATGCTTTTACTTACCGCGCCTATTGGCAGGGAATTAATGTAATCACAAAAAATTCGCTTTAGCTGCAGTGGTTGCAGAGTGGTCAACAAACGAAGAGAAAATTGCATAAACTTCGCTTTCGGACAATGACCTACATTTTTCAACATTTTGTGCTTTGACAACCACGCGGTTATAGGAGCGAAGGATAAACGCAAATAATATCGGTATGAATTTTATTTACGAAAATACATAAGAAGAAAACTGAATTTATACATTGACAAAATGAAACTACTAAAAAATGCTTATACTTAGTTTGTGATACATATGTTCATACTTAATTTCTACTTTATTAAAAAAACGGGTTCGCTCATAAATTGAGATGGTATTCATTTTTTCTTTCGGTACTGGTTCTGGATGAAAACTTTGATTTTTAGCCAGTCCTTATTATGTAATAATTCAGTATGACTTGCGATGAGGTTATCGCATTCAGCCTTTTTTGGGGCCCTCTTAGATTTAATGTGATTTCCAAAGTGAACCAAGACTAAATTTTTCTGATCTTCAGTCCAAGGAACTAGAACCCTGGACTTTTTCTTTGGTAACGTTATATCCACTTGCTGAGATTCCGGATCTGGATGCGGTTCTTGGATATCTTCATATTGGCATAGAGGCTCTGGGTGGTTATCATCCTGCTGCGCTTCTGATATCAAATTCTCGTCTAGATTCAAATTAATTTCGTCCAGGGATTTTCCTTTGAAATGACCTGCCTCGCCCTTCTCCATCAACGTCAAAATCTTGGAGAGTCTAGCCGTTTGGTAGACGTCATCTGGTAATCGGTATGATGCACGGTGGATACCTAGTGTATGTCCCATAAAAGATGCGAGTTGTTCCATGTCATTTTCTGACATGTTGAACAATTGAGTCAAGGTTGCCAAGTGCTTTCTCAGACGGGTGCTAGTCAGAGCATGCGGATTTTTCGCTTGACATAACGACGCATACTTTTTGATTACCTTGTAACCAATAATGGGTTCTTGGGAGTTAGGTTTACCGAAAAGATATATGTTCGACACCGTCTGAATATTATCTCTACACTCTAGTATTAGATTCAAGTGATCCTGTACATCCTTGCTT